AATGTTCATAGATCAAATGAATTTGATGGAGAAAATAAGAACTTTACCACCCCCGCTCTTTGTTATACATCAAAGGTAGATAAACCATTATCCTCATAATTTTCACATAAAGTCCTATTCATTTCTATTTATTATTTTACTCCTACTGATATGACTATATTTCCAACCTTACCGTCCCTTGCATGAAAACAGTTGCAGATTTGAAACCAAGCAGCCTGAGATAGAAGTCTCCGAAAAGCATTTGTTAACTCCGATGTTCCTTATTCAGAATATCAAAACAGAATTTTCAATTAAACAAATTAAACATATTCAGATATATCTCGAATGAACTATGTTTACTGCTATGAAAACTCAGTCACACACATATATATTGCATCCCAAATGCAACCATGATTTAAACAAAACATCGACAACAGACTAAATCTAGATGATCTCCAATCAGAAATTCAGTCCTGACGAGCATGTCAATATAACAGTGTGTAGATATATGCAGAAAGACACTGCCGACGTTTTCTCCTCTTCCTCCAGTATTCATCGCAGTGAGTTTGATCATAATCCTCATCTGTCTGTATCATGTGAATTCTGAGATAATCAAGATTCCTTTGCATCCCGTGACCGGAATTAAGTCAATTCTAAATCCGCATTGGAAGTTCTTGAGAGGATTACAACGAAGCTGGATGAAATTATGGAGTAGAAGAGAAACACCAACGCCAGAACTCCTGTACAACTATGAAAATGTTAGTGAGACAGATTATGTGATAATTAGTCATGTTTTTGATTAATTCAAATAAACGTACCATATTGTGCATTGATTTAAGCAGATGTTATCTTACGTCCTATACACAGTGATGTTCTTCTAGTACATTACATTCCGCACATTATCTCATAGAGATGTTATTTGTGAGAATCAGAGTTCTACTTAAGCTGTTGAAAGTTAATGAATGTGTGTGTAATATTTTGTAAGAAGTGTTTGTCCTTCCATCTCCCGGGTCAAAGAATAAGTAAACAGTGAAGATCTGTGTGATTACTAAAAATTTATCATTCTTAACGTATTCCATGTGATCGCTGAGGTGAGGCATGGGAAGAAGTGTTTTAGATCAGAATTAGTTATTGATATATGTATATATATGCGTCGGTGATACACTGGTTAGGAATCTCGCCGACCATGGTCCGGGGTTCGACCTCCTGCAGACGCACACCTAATATCTATGACCGGCCTGCAGAATTTGAGCTACCAATATCACATGCTGAAAACTCCATACTTGTATCAAAAAGACTGTGTGAAGTCAAGCTATAATAAAATAAATTATAAAAATAAAATAGCCAATGAAAAAAATAAAAATAAAGTTATAGGTGACATTCATAACACTCTATGAGACTATTAGATCAGTAACCCTTCAGACACAACTACTGAAGTCCGATTTGCCAACATTTGTTTTGTGTAGTATCTGTTTATTAGCCATGAATCATACAGGATAATAGTATATCTCCATTTGCTGCACCAGCATATCTTCTGACTTGTAGTAGTTACTCAAAATAAATGACTGTTTCACATAGAAGATGAGGAGTCAAAATTGAGACAAAGTATTACTTCATGGATTTGATTCGCTTACTTTACAAACTAAGTGAAATGCACTGCTCATTTGATAACATTGGTTCATCCAATTCTGCCCACAGTTTTACGTCTAGACAATCATTAGTATTATCCTATCATATCACATAAACAATATAGCTATTATCGACCTCTTATGAAACATCCGATCTCCAAAGGACGCCATTTGGAAGCCTCAATAAAAAATGAGTGGTCCACCGTCCTTAACAATTTCACTCAGCTGTGTTATACTCAGTGTTCTATATATGTACAACCAGTGATTATTTAGGGTGATATGCGATTTTCGGTCACGGAGTGATTCAGACCATAGTCTTCAACGTTTTTTGAATAAAACAGATTGTAAAACATGTGACTTACTTTTCTATTTCAGGATGTCAACTGGCTATCTACAGAATGCCTGTCACCTTTCACAGGTAGTGATAAACTCGCTGATGGATACTGGGATCTTGGTGATATATTCATGATGAAGTTTTACACTGTATTCGATTTCGGTGAGAAGGAGATAAGGTTAGCTGATGTTGACGATGGATAAAGTTTGTTGTATGAAAAGCAGCCGATCAAGTTTTGCGAAATAATTAATGAATTTCTTATCTGAACAAATGACTTTTTCTCCATGATTTTTGAGAAACCACACAAATGTCTTAAATATAGTTCTCAATCAAGTCTGTAATATACGACAGCCTAAGCATCACAGGGAGTAGTTTAGTTCCAATGCTTTGAATATTAGAAACTTCATTTGAGTGAATGCAGTTCTTATATCGCGATTAAATCCAATAATTGTACTGTGATCAATGAAGTAACTATGCCATTTCGTTGTGTAAGATATTATTATTATTCCCTTAGGTTCCGAGCGGAACATATAATAAGTACTTGTTACTTAATCTGCAGTTGATCTGAGATTCGTCTTTTCATTTAAACTTGGAAACAATGAGAATTCTTATTTCTTCACGAAAGTGATACTAAATAATTGTCTACACAAAGATGTTGCTGTTTTCAAGCGAATTTGCTCGCTTATGTTTGGAACAGAAAAAATAAAGTTAGTTTCAGAATGCGTTACTTGAGTACTGATTAAAGAAAACATGAACTTCGTCACGTGCATTCTCATTACTCCCTGTAACAGTAATGTCTTTTTTCAAATACCACGAACTACATCTGCATAATTTCATCTATTTATTTGCATTCAAGAAGTAATCAGATTTCATTGAATGTAATTGAAATTTTATTCCAAGATATCAAATCAGAATTTCGTTCTTGTTAAGTAGGTCATCAAGCACGAGTATATACAAATAAATGAATTGAAGACATTAAATATGCACATTCTGGGGATATATAGTCTAATGGCTTTCTTATGTTCATCCCAAAGATCTGACTTTACTATTGGTTTAGGCTCCTTTTTAACAAACATGAATGATAGTGTAAGAGAATATGTATTATTACTGAAATGGACAAAAGTATAGCTCACATGCAGAATGGTGTTAATGGTATGAAACATTGAATCTGCACATCAATTAAGAGATACATGTCTACTGTGTCTTCAGCTGATTTTCTGATATTCTGTGACCTGAGATACAGCATTAATACCTTCTTCATTTCATAAGGCAATGACACTGTTTCAATGGACAAATACATGCGATTTTGAGAGGGGGAGATTAGGTCGAATAATACAATCTTCCTACTTATATGTTTACATATCCGACTTCACCGTCGTCCGCACTAAACCAATTAAAGATGTGAAACCGAGCAGCCTGAGATAGAAGTCACCGAAAATAATTTTCAATTCGAATGTTCCTTATGCAAAATATCAAAACAGAACTTCTCAATTAAACAAATTAAACATATTTAGACACATCTTGAATGAAGCACGCTTATGGCTATGAAAACTCAGTCACATATACACATTTATGTTGTATCCAGGATTGAACCAGAATGTACAGAATACAGAATTAACACTATACATGAATTAAGTTCACACGTGTCATGATATCCACACATCACGAAATAACACATACCAACAACAGACTAAATCTAGATGATCTCCAATCAGAAATTCCGTCGTTGTGAGCATGTCAATATAACAGTGTGTATATAAACAGAAAGACACTGCCAGCATTTACGCTTCTCCTTTGAGTATTCACTGCAATGAATCTGATCATACTTCTCATCTGTCTGTATCATGTGAATTCTGAGATAATCAAGATTCCTTTGTATCCCGTGACTGGAATTAAGTCAATTCTAAATCCGTATTGGAAGTTCTTGAGGGGAATACAGCGAAGCTGGATGAAATTATGGAGTGGAGAAGAAACACCAAAATCACAACAACTGTATAACTTTCATAATGTAAGTTGATCTTCACTTATAAATTTATTGAGAAATGAGCAAGAAGCTTTACAAAGATATCTATTCGGAGATTTAATCTACATAAGCTGTACAACACGTTTTGTACAGAAGTTCACACGGCTACAACTATCATTCAATTCAGCCAAAGAGTATAAAGGACACAATAATTTTAAACTTTATAGGGAAGTTAGAAGGTGTGAATACAGATCACAAGAGGCTTAGAAACAAAATAACACAGGACTAGAAAATAACTCAGTAATATGCTAAATGGATTTGGCGAGTTCAGGTGTGAACGAGATGGTTAAAGAAACAAACTGAAGTAAGAGTATTAATAGTTGAAGAAAACTATTGGGTTCTATGCGTCATAAGTAAATAAATAGTACTATCTCCCTTGGATAGCAAAATAAAAGTATTCTATGATAGACTTCGACTCTCCCACAGTGTTTAAATTATGAACACTTATCACACTTCACTAAGCCGCTAGCACCAATTAAGTGTTCCAAGTCGTATTTCTAGTTAAATCGAAATTTAAGTGGTTTTTAAATAAATATCATTTCAGAGAAGAACATATCTACCAAATGCAAAAGGGGTTTGTCGAAGCCTTATAAAATTGTGTGATATTATCTTTTGATGTACACCACTTCATCACGATATCAGAAACATTCAGGTTTTCAGAATCTTATGTTTATTATATCTTTTTAAGATTGAATACTATGGAGAAATGCAAGTGGGAACGCCACCACAAACGTTTCGTGTAATGTTCGACACAGGATCAACAGACAGCTGGTTTCCCTCAAGAAAGTGTTGGTTTCTTGACATTCCGTGTTGGTTCATTCGATTTTACGACAGTTCGAAATCATCTACCTACAAGCCAAATGGTACTGAATTTCATGTTTATTACCTGACTAGCATTTACTCTGGATTTTGGAGTATGGATACAATGCAGGTATTGTGCTTTTATAACTTGAAGCGACAACGGTCTTAGCTAAACTCCTTAGTTATTCGTAATCAGGCGTTTGCTGAAGTAACAAATGTGTTTTCCTTAGTCTACTTTGGTTACAAGTGTGACGGAATCATTGGTATGCAAATAAGAAATGTGTCAATATATGGGAACACTCCATTCTTCCCGAATCTACTTTCTCAATTCAAGGATATAGATCCAGTAATTTCTTTCTATCTGAGCCGGTGGGTTCTTGTTTATGATACAACAATAATACTATTGCTGTATATGGCTGATATTCCAGTGGTTTACTATTACGTTTTCCAATGATTTCTGACTCAATATTTACTTATTTGGCATACAGATTCACTGAAACTTAATTAAGTTTAAGTGGCTTTAAATATATGCTTAACATAAATCTCCCCCATAATATTTAAGTGGAATACATGAGAAAGGAAATGGTTTGAGACAATCATAAGATTTCATTATTAAAAAACACTTTCTGCCTACAAATTTTGGACTGAATTTAAAGAAATGAAATGTGTGACCGAAGGTACACATCAACTAAAGTACTTGGCTAGTAATTCACTTACATTGTCCTTTAGATAGTTATGACAGACAGAGTCTTCAGCTGAACTTTCATTTACAGCTCCAGTACCCTTGGAATATGAAGTGTTGGAGACAATAATTAAATTCTGTGATTTCATTCAAATTCATAAATAACGTTTATTCTGATTGTTATTCACCTATTTGCAGAAACACGAAGTTGAACACGTTGCTAACCTTTTCAGTAATTCCTCAAATTCGTGTCTGATATTTTGTAGGGAAAACGGTCTTGCTGGTGGAGAGATGGTGATTGGTGGTGTCAATCCTGAATATTTTATTGGAGATTTCGAAAACTTGCCTGTCATTTATAAAGACAGTTGGACTGTTACACTCAAAAGGTAGTCAATTGATGCTTGCATGATTTCATGGGCAAAGATGTTATTCAAATTAATTAGTTCCTTTTATGAGTTTCGACAACACAATAAGAAGACGTAGTTTATCTGAAACGTGTAATGTATTGGCGCAACACATTTCCGACATTCTGATCACACACGTACTTGTCATACACAGTTTTTATAGAAGGCAAGAAGGCACGAATAATTACAATACAGGTCAGATTGTGTGCAGGTCAAGGTTACTTACAGTAAGTAGGGAGACGCAAAGATGTGGGTAAGAAAGAGAAAAAGAGAAAAACAAAGCAAAGAAGGGATTGAAAATATTATGAAGTAAATTGATCCTTGGTTCTAAATTGGATTACCAAGGCAGGTTTAAGGTAATAACAAATAACTTTTGGACACATAACACAGATTTAAATCTTCTTATGGCTAAGGCTTCAACGAATTTAAGTACGTGGCCCAACTAGCCATAAAAACAACCAAGGACCAATTTACTTCATAATATTTTCAATCCCTTCTTTGCTTTGTTTTTCTCTTTTTCCCTTTCTTACCCATATCTTTGCGTCTCCCTACTCACTGTTTGTGACCTTGACCTGTACACAATCTGACCTGTATTGTAATTAATCGTGCCTTCTTGCCTTCTATAAAAACTGTGTATGACAAGTACGTGTATGTTCAGAATGTCGGAAATGTGTTGCGCCAATACATTACACGTTTCAGATAAACTACGTCTTCTTTTTGTGTTGTCGAAGGGATATCAATTTTTCCCGTGAACACTAAGGTCACAGAAAATGTGGAGTGGTTGTCACAGTTATGTCTTCTAATCAAAGTATATGTAATACACGCAACAATTCCCAATTTTTCCAGTAATAAAAGTGATACATATAGAAAATCAAAACAAATGATTCAGCGAAGAGACTCCTTTCAACGAATTTATCATCAAGCTGTACAATCGTATATATGGTTTTTAAGAAGTTATATCCCGTGAGGGAATTAAATCATAGGTGTAAATGCATAGAATAATCATAATAATAATAACATGAAATGCAATTAAAACTAAAATGTTTGTGATTATTATCGTAGTTAAATGTCAAGTGGCAAAGCAAATTAATGTCATATATAGAATAATTCATAGGATGGATAGAACTTGAAAAAGGTGTGCAATTATAAGATTAGTAGACAAATCGAATAAAATAAAAGCGATACGAAATATTGTGTGAAATTTAATAGCATAGAATTTATATGTTACAATGGGAATTTTCCATGATTTAAAAGTCATACACTCAAGTAAAAGTCTATTGGATGAGATAGGCGTTGATAATTCCAGATGACAAATTAGTGGACAGTTATTCTGCATCCCTAATTTATTATAGTTGGTTTGAACCTAAAATACTCTCTTCTAGTACAAATAAAGCAGTCATTTGACCACCATCACCTCAACACATAAAAACCGATTCCCATTCTATCAAGCAACATCACATATTCTGACTATCCATTTTTACAAGCTGGCGTGACTACTTACTGGCCAACTTTCACTGAGTTATCGAAGAAAGTGTCATCTGTTTGATTTTAATCTGTTGACAACCTGAGTGGTTTATCTGGAAACGAATGCCATTTGAAATGGTGATGGTGTGTAGTCAAGTTGCCTTGAGCAATCTCAAGTGGAAACTTTCATGGTGTGCGTAATTTCAGCATGGTTTGTATGTGTTCACGAGTATTCCAGTGAACAAAGTCATTAGAATGATTTAGTGAAGGATGTTATTGGGTGAAAGTGCAATAAATTCTGATGAGAGCTGAAAGTTAATCAACAGACAGGGATTTGTGTATTTGTGTGGAGATGACTGAGGAGAACTAAGTATGCCCATTGCGTCTGATTATTAGGATGAGTGGTTTTGTGATTGGATTAATTTATATCAATACACTCTTCACTGCATAGATTGGTTAATGCTTCAGTTGTGTTTGTTTTACCATGTTCAGCATGAAGATAAATGGAGTAGAATATTGCAAAGAAACGTGCGTTGCTATTATATCTACTGGCATATCTTTGATACTGGGATCGAATGAAACGGTGGAAACGATTAATTCTAGACTTGGGGCCGAGCCGGTTGGGGATGATGAGTATGGATTAAACTGTAATGATATTAACCTGCTCCCTCCTATTGAGTTTGTCTTCAAGAAGAGGAGCTATGTACTTGAGGCGAAGAACTATGTGCTTAAGGTAAGTATGAGAATTCGGTTGAACATTGTGATTTTCTTGTGATCGGCACCTCGATGGGAATTTCCTCATCAATGCCAATGATTTGCATTTAAGAAATGGCAACACATTTTAAAATACAGGTGAATTTCATCGTTTCGAAAATGGCCTAAGTAAGGAAAGAGATCTCTTTTCGTAACCTGACTTCGAGTTTGAACAGTTATTTAGGGTTTATATATACAGTGCTATCTGACAACAAATGTGAGATCCATCGACACGACAATGTGCGAAAAATTATGAGTAATCGAGAGGGTTGATTGCCAATTACTTATGTAATGATTAGTAGTTACTTGGAAATGACATATAAGAGCCAGAGATCGGTGCATTGAAAGTGAGTAACAAAAAATATTAAAAAATGTACAAATACTGCATAAAGTTCTTTACACAACAAAATTGTCACTAAAGACACTTTAGTAAAGGAGGCTGGATAAAAAGGTGTGTGAATACAAAGTCCTGGTTTTTCCTAGTGGATTCCAGAAGCCTTGGTTACATGAAGTGTAGGCGAAATCCAGTCGAACTGCCTGGTCCTATTTCACATATGACTTCGAAGTAACTCTGTTCTGATGCAACGTGCCAAGAAATAACATCGTGCTCCAGAATTGAGTCGTTGTCTGTCCTGTACTACCTTATTCCTCAGACTACCATGCTGGCAAGTGTTCATCGGCCTACTTACACAATGTCCTGTTAGTACAGTCCACGTAGTTGACTCCATAGGAGACATGAAGCTGGTGAATTGACACTGAAGTCACCAAAACCTACAACTTGTCTTTGTCGATTTGGTGAGCAAGTGCAGGTGAGGTGAAATAAATGGCAAAGAAAGTTCTCGAAATGCTGTCAACAGAAGACTTCAGAGAATTTCACTGAATTTATCTCCCTGTCTCTTCTTCAGTTTTGCGGAATACTGTTCCTTAGTTTCATTTCTTCCTCTCTTACATCGGCAAGTGTCATCCAGCTCCACGATTATCATTCATTCTACACAGAAATAATCATCAATTCTATGCAAAATATTGGTTTCAGCTTCTAAACAGACAAATTTAGCCGGAAAGTTGGTGAATTTACTCATTTCCTATGGTTGTTCTAATTTTCATTTTCGAGATTTTGAATCAATGAGATTTATAAAATTCTTTTCATTTTCGCTTTCAGGAAGTCAACTGGTTAAAGACAGAGTGTACATCACCATTCGCTAGTAGCGATGCAGTCCCCCCTGGAGTTTGGGTTCTTGGCTATGTATTTATGAGGAAGTTCTACACTGTATTCGATTTTGGTGAGAAGGAGATATGGTTAGCTGATGTTAACGATGGCTGAATCTCACTATAATGAAACCAGTTAATAATTGATCATAAATAAAGACAAAACAATAACAAGACGTAATTTATCTGACTTATGAAATGTATTTGCGCAACACATTTTGAACAATCTGATTCAGCCAACACAGACTTGTCATAGGAATATATATGAAATTAATAAAGAATTAATAGGTGACGTCAAGTTAAAAGGACATATTCAAGGTCAAAATAACAATGAGGATCACTAAATCAAATAACAGAGGTAATAGCACATCTGCTATGGTTTCAAAACAAAGCTAACCAAAGAAGATTTAGTGTGATAACGAATTGTTTTTCAACGCATATTTGTACGAATCATGTTCCTCCAAGTCCTTTTAGTAACTGCAGAAATATCGTGAATGTAGTTCCGGGTTTAAAATTGCATATGTAAGATTAGAGTGACTATGCCGAAATAAATTTCACTGAACATTAAGGTGGCTTCATCATTGATCTGTGCACAAATCAATCTAGAATGGTGAGAAAATTAACTGCAGAACTCACTTGTTTAGAACCAGTGCATGATAACTAATAAATTTAGCGTCAGTTGTTTCCGGACTTGAAAATGATATCCACTACAAATCTGTTAAAACCATTCTCATGAATTACTTATCCCATAGTTCTAGCATGAATGGTTACCTTATCAAATCAGAAGGTATCTAGGTTTGATGGTTTAACTGAGAAACTTTCATTACCCTTTCAGACAATATCTACAGAGTTAAGTCCAAGTGAAGTGAGTTTATGAAATTCGTCATGAATGAAGTATTTGTCTCTCCTGGTGACTACTGCAACTGGCTGCTGTCGTAGATTTCCCTATGATTGTACTCGCCTGCATAGAAACTGGTCTTCTTATCATCCCTATTTTTGACCCTTCTCTCCTGTCACCTATTTATTATTCATTGCTTGGTAGATTGCATCCATATCAACATGTCGACTAACTGGAAACTGATTTGTCTTTGGGAACCCCAGGGATTCTCTGGGATACTTCATATCTCCTTTCTCTAATATATTTGCATCACCCCAGTCGATTTTGTGTCGGTAGTCGTCTCCGTGAATTGATATGAACGAGTGTTTGTCACATCTTCGGATTACTAGCTTGTATTCATGTATGTGAAGATGAGTAGGATGGCCTCTCTGGTCAATATTGTTCATGCAATCTATTTTACAGTTGAAGTTTGTATTAGATTGTTGGAGCAATCGGCAGGAAGCCTTGGACCTAGGTTTCGTGCTAGTTGGCACTCATCAGCAAGGCGTATCTTCAACCTTGAAGGAACTGATGTCCCTTGTGAGATTCGAACCCGCGTCACCCAGTGCTGCAGTCAGAGACGTTACCACTGAGCTATTCAGGCTCGCGACTGACCCCTGTAGGACTGTATTGGATATTTTTTTTTTCAGTCTGCACCTAAAAAGGACTAGACACATTACACTAGTTACTACTAGTGTGCAATCAAAAAAAATATACAGTTGAAGTTTGTTTGACCACTTATTACTGTCACCTTTTGATTTACACAGTATGGAGTGAAGCTGCTCCATTTTGAAGTAGAAGACATGTTCCACACATGAAGTCATTACCTTTTTCAGCCAGTGATTTCTAAGTGAAACAAGATTAGGTTTGAAAGGAGTTAACGTTATTCAGAAGGAAAAACGAACCGATCTAAAAATCAATATTTGTTATTACTTGATGTGCATGTTGGATGGTTATACGTGTTAGAATGTTAAGAATCAGTCTTTGGGACTTCTAGTTACATGCCTCAAAATCCCCCACAATAGCTCAGACGTAGTCCTGTTACCTTCTTCTAATCATTCAATCAGTACTTCATCGAAGTGTGTCGACCCAAAAAGATTTGAATTTGTTCAATTAATGAGTAATGCATTACATTCTGATACACTGAACTTCTGAATCTCCTATGAAACCACCTTCGTTATGAAAATCTGGACCTAGCAGTGTCAACATGCTTCAACTCTTATCTGTCTCCTACATTTGTATTCAGTAATATAACGAAAGAAAACATTTACGTTTATAGGCGATGCAACTTTTTTAGGTAGCAGATGAGATATTTCTTCTGTGTCAACTAACCCCGCACTCATTCTTATGACTACATTTATTCAGAAGTCCATTTGTCCATTCCAGGTGAGACTTGGACTTGTAGAAACATAGTTTCGAAACCATTCTGTTTAATTTCTCCAGTTTACTACTATGGAAGAGCTTCATATGTCTCATAAACGCCTCACACAACTTTTGTGTATACTTCAACCGAAGAGTATTTTGAAGTGGATATCAAATGTTTCGTCCATGAAAACTTAAGCTTGAAGGTGAATGCAAAACTAATCATCCCATTACAATTGCTCAGTGTATGAGCTAATGGGAAAGCCTCTAACAGTTTTCCTGAAGATATGTTTCTACCTATCAAATTCAAACACTGAATAGTAAACACAGTGCATAGAATGTGAAAGAATTACACGATTCAAACGCGAGTATCTCTAGCATTCGACATGTTCATTCCCCAACGAAATTAAGCCACAAATCGGTTGACTAATACATTTAAACCACTGCATCATGAAGTCAATATTTTTGGCAAGTGCCACTCCAATTCGTTTGGTTGGAGCCTGTCTGACGAATAAAATCTGTAAGCTAGTCGACCATTATAGGAAGAGGAGATTTCGCATGATTTCATTGCCACCATGAAAATTGTTCTCTAGTATTTTACGTACTTCCACTTTAACTCTGTTAACCACAACAGTATCAGAACAATTCCAATATCACTATTAAAAAATGATCAAATTCTTTGACTATTTCACTTGAAAACACAACCAAATATCATTCAAATCTAATACATTAAGAGTAGAATATATATAAAATTACAAGTGTTAGTAGTCTTATTGGTTTAATTATAAAATGTACTCAAATATCCTACATTTGACAAAACTGTTGCATATAAATGAGAGGTGAAAAATCCCAAGCATCTCTGAAGTCAATGTGCAGCCATGCGATCAAAATAGGGTGAGGAGCAGTCAAATATTAAGGACAGGAGCATGAGTTAGAAGTAATATAGAGAGGTATACATTAAGAGTGTCAAATGAAACGAAATTCTAAAGATTAGATTGATTACCACATAGAAAATGGTAGAGGAGGAGTAACAACAGCCACTTTCGGAATGCATGAGCTCAAGTTTCAACGTTCAGTGGTTACCGATCAAGTAGGATTTATATGTATGTGAATAATTCTAAATGATTTAAGAGCAGCATATCCATTGCTACTAACTACCATGTATTGAGAGAATACAATTCTGCACTATTTTCAGCCACAAAGAAATCCCAATACGGTAACAAATCTGTATTTCTGTTCTTTCAATATATTTGCTCTTGCAAAAGTCATGCAAAGTGGAATATGGCTTTGAAGGCATTATGACAGAGGTGTGGAGTCTGTAACAATACGACTGTACATTTTTTGTTGTTAGATGTTAAAAATAGAAACATTGTACGCAACTTTTGTTTAAAACGATTCATAGTGAAATATGCATAACTGCGGAGTACAATAAAAAATTCAGTTTGCTTCCCGCTGCTTCATATTCTAGCTAGTCTATACTGTCTACTTGTTTCACTACAAAAAGTGTTGTATACTTTGAATTTCGCAGAAACCTT